GCAGAGGAGGGGAAGGGAGGAAATGGGCCCGGATGAGGGGGGGGGACGACACGGGACTCTGGTTCCTCCCCCCACCATTTATTCTTGACAGGCAATTTGCTAGTATGAATATACACTCTAATTTGCACCAAATAAGAGGGTCACAGAAAACAATCCAGCTGTACAGACATTCAAATTCAATCCTGCTGTATGGGCATTCAATTTTCATCTTTATAATGAAGGTCCAAACCGAGAAAATTAAATTCAACTTGGGGTAAAAACATGCCACTCTTTTATAACTAAGTAAAATGAAGCCCTTCTCAATTACTGACATTCTTAATGTTTTTAAAAGTTTTAAAATGGTTTTCACTCTCTTACAAATATCAAGTCTGTGGCTTCCCTAGTTTCAAGGTGGCTAGTTCTGGCAAGTCTTGGAACTGTTTTTGAGGGCTCCAACCCTGTATGTCAAGGAACAATGGTGTTTTAATATTTTAATAAGATTTCCTTTTTCCAAATGTTATTAGCCAAGACTAAGTTTAAAAAACAGTTTCTGACAGTGTGACTGCCTTTCCAAATTTGTTCCACTTGAAATGATGAAGACAGGGCTAGACTCAGGAAGTCACCTAGTCCAACCTCCTGCTCAAAGGAGGATTCTTCCCAAGTAAATCATTCCAGCCAACCATTTATTCAACCTGCTCCTCAAAATGTCTGAAGATAGAGACTGTACAACTACTCGAGGTAATCTGTTTCAATGTTCAACCACCCCCATATTAAGAAAGTTCTTCCTTGTATCCAACCTGAATTTCCTGTTTTTGTACTTTCAGACCGTTACTTCTTGTCCTATCTCCTGCAGCCATACAGAATAGTCTATTACCATTTTCTTTTTAACCACCCTACATGTATTTGAAGACAGCTAGAAAAATCTTACCCCTACCTTAATTCTTGTATTTTACAGACTAAATAATCCCAGTTCTTCCAACTCTCTCTCACAATTCACGTATTCTAGATGTCTAATCATTTTCACCACATTCCACTGGAGTCCTTCCAATTTATCCACATCTTTCTTCAAGTGCAGTGCTGAAACCTAGACATGGTACCCTCCAGGTAATAATGTCACACCAATCCTGAACAGAGTGAAAGATTCACTTTCCCTGACTTGCAGATATTCATTCTTAGTTTCTGACATACCATGATTTACTAGTTTCCCAACCAATCAATTTCTAATGTAATAAAGTATGAAGGAAAAAAAAGACTGAATACAGGTGCACGCACGCACATACAACAGAAAAATTAAAAAGCATTAGCATGACTTGTCCTTAAAACTGATCTACAAATGAGAAACATCTCAAACCTATGCAAAAATTAAGCTTCTCTCAAATTTTAATCTAATTTTGTTACATTGGGAAGGAGGACCATTATGACAAAAAATTGTGTAAGTGTATCATAATATAAAATGCTACACTGTGACCAACATCCTAGGGAAACCTACTTGAAGATAATACCATACCATATAGTACAAGCTATTTAAAACACCATTTAAACCCTGCAAATGACAACAGTCATTTTCCAAAATTCTACCAATTTCAATACTGACTGTACTACTTAAATGGATTTTGGCTATTTCACATACGGGAAGTTTGTTCTTAGCTTTCCCACCTTATTAATAGTGGTTACACATTGCTACTCCGTGCTTCTGCTCACCTGTTCACACCTTATTATGGCTACATACATTTAACTAAGAGCCTTGCCTCTAAAACTAACCATGAAAATGTTGAAAGTCAACTTCACAGCTTCTAATAACATACAAATGACAGCAAAAGAAATGGGCTAGAAGGAATAACCACCCTCCCCATGTCAGGATTTTCTGCTTACCAAAGTGACCCCATTACATGTAATTAATCCATTTAATGTCAAAATCTATGCCAAAAGGGCGATGGTAACATTGCACTTGTATCTTCAAACTTGGCATGACTGAGCATTTAACTAGAACATGCTCTTCATGTTCGCTTCTGTTCACAAATTCGAAGGGCTATTTAATTCCCTAAGTACCCACATCCTATACATTTAAGAGGATATTCCCAAGACAGATGTCTTTTAACAGTAAACTACTGCATCTCAAGCTAGTTCACATGGGGATTACAGAAAAGATTTTCTAAGGCAGAAATGAAAGCCTCCCTTAGGCTATGTTGAAAATCCCAGCCAAATCTGTTAGAGTGGTATAATGATTCTGTACTTTTCATGCCATATATCTTCAAGTAATCTCTAGAAAGTATATTTGCTTTCCTCAAGATTGGGGGTACTAAGGCATATTTTTAATGAATATTTCATATTTGTAAATTAGAAGTCATACTTGTATTTGGCCAATTAGAAGTAAATGAAAATTAGGTCTTGCCTACATTAACCAAATACTTGCATATTTAATTGTAGAACAGTAAAAGTATAAAAGAAAACTGTACGATATATTAATAATCGCTGCCTTCACCTACATGTTTAACTAAAAAAAAAGTGAGGCCTACTCACGCAAGTAATATGTATGCTTACAGAATCAGGGCCTAATACCACTACCACGCACGGGCTTGAAGTTACCCTTGTGTTTTAACTGTTTTGCTGAATTGAAGCATGAGGCATGCCATAATTTAAAAACTTCCTAAGTGACAGCTTAAATTGTTTTTACTATCATCAGGCATTACAGAAGAAGCATAACACCCAAGTTATTATACTTATATTTCATATACAACTGTTGATTCGAGCACTATAAATGAACACGTAACTAAGGTTGTATTAAAAAAAAATAGTAATTTTGTAAAGACTGTCTTTATACTTTCTTACAAGAGAAAGATTGCAGGCTGCAGAGTATAAGCTAGTTTGCTCCAGTCATTTAATAGATTTCATAGACATTAGGGCTGGAAGGGACCTCATGAGATCATCAGGTCTAGCCCCCCCGCCCCCACACCCAAAGGGCAGGAAGTCAGCTGGGGTCAAATGACCCCAGAAAGATAATCATCCAAACACTTCTTGAATGTGTCTAGAGTAGGTGCTTGCATCACCTCTAGGGGGAGTCTATTCCACTCGTCTACTCTGGAGACTCAGACAGCAAAGAAGTTTTTCCTTACATCCAGTCTAAAACGGTCTTCCAGCAGTTTGTGACGCTGGACCTCATCTTCCCTTGGGGTGCCTGGGTGAACAGATGTTCTCCCAGATCCTGATGCAAACCCCTTATGTACTTGTAGGCTGCCACCAAGTTCCCCCTGAGCCTATGCTTTTCTAAGCTGAAGAGTCCCATGCCTCTCAGCCTCTCCTCATAAGGCCTGCTCTCTTGACCTCTGATTGTGTGTGTAACTCTCCTCTGGACTCTCTTAAGCTTATCCACATCCTTCCTAAAGTGTGGAGCCCAGAACTGGACACAGTACTCCAGCTACGGCCTCACCAAGGCTGAGTAAAGCGGCACATTTAATTTCTGTTGGTCTGACTACATAATCTAGCCATCTTTGTCTTGGGTGTCCAGGCAGCTTTCTCCACTCCGGTACCCAAGGAAACTTTCTTTGGTGTCCAAATAACTTCCATTCTTTCGATACTGCCCAACCCCTGTAGTCATTGTGCTGTGATTTTGTATGTCAGGATTAGAGCTATGTAAAATTGACAGAACGCATTCTTGGTTCTTATGTATCATTTTTGTGTTATAGGATCATACTGTACACCAAGAAATACGGGGGGAATTTTTTTTTCCCCAGAAGAATCCCGTAGTATCTTGTTTGCTTGTGAGAGAACCTTGCTTTGACTGCCAAAGTTTATACATGGTCCAATTATGTTTTTAGACATGAAACTTTTCCTTGGGATGTGCTTGGATGATAGAAGCTTGTGCAGTGCAAAATAGGTTCTATTTCCTGCTTCCATTCTTCCTTTAATTCCTGTGTGTTACCATCCTGTGCTATGACAGAACATAAATAGTTGAAGTGGGTCCCTTGCTTAAAATTTGTGTTGTTTACTGTTACATGAGATCCCTGACTTAATGTGCCATTTACCACCAGCAATTTTTTATCCAGGTTCACTTGCAGCATAATTTTTTTTGCTTCATTTCTTAGTCACGCATACCAAGCCTCTGCATGACATAAACCATGTTTCAAATTGCTTGTGGTAATGTGTTATCTCACCACCTGTTTGTACAATAAAATCCCTGATATCCAGCACAAGTGGGGAATGGAGGGTTCTGATGATGTAAAAATTCCAGTTACCTGAGGGCACAGGGTTTCCACCCCAATGCGGAGCAGGAATGGTGGCAGTGCAGCGCGGTAGGTGGCAGCAGCAGCGGCCGCAAGTTTCCTCTCCCCCCCAACCCCGGCTCGAAATTCCAGTCGCTAGAAATGCCGGTTAGTAAAATCCCAGATGACAGGGATTTTACTGTACAATATTTAGGCACAGGAGGGACAAGGAGTCTCCATCATAATGCAATTATCAAATATTATGTCATATTACCCTTGAATATTATTACATGCCTCTCCAGAAATAACTTGTCAGAATTTGATTTCAGTTGAATAAAAAAAAAATGCATTGATATTAACTGAAATTTGGACTCTCATACTGCTATGCACTTCTCTGTTATACAGGGAATAACTATATCTGAATCGCAGAACTATATAAAATTAGGGCTGGAAGGGACCTCAGGGGTCATCTAGTCCAACCCCCTGCCCAAAGTAGAATCATTGCAGCCAAATGTTGGTCTACACGTGAAGTTATTTAGGAAGAGCTGTTCTGCATTGATCCATGTATGCAGAAGTTCTTGGATCAAAGCTGTGGATCAGAAGTTATAAGCCATCAGATATCATTAACAGCAAAGTACAGAGCAACAATCTTTGCACAAGCTATTTGTTCCCATGCAACACAAAAATAAGTCTACCATATTTACTCTAACAGAATGAAAAGTCTTTACAATTTAAAAACATGTTTAAATAAAACCAAAACTTAACGTATTACCAGGAAATTTAAAATCAACTCTGGCAGCGCCTAGCTACAGTGTATTTTACCTCCTTCTGCCGTGTCACGAAACGAGCTTTTCTGTAGTCCTGTTCATCATATACCTGAAATACCAAATAAGCTGCAGCTTAATTATACATTAGGAACCATTAGCCCATTTTGCCACCTTGCACCAAGATCTTGTGTTGAACTGCTTGCCTGTTAGTCTACTACGGGCTTTCCAGAACCATTCCTTACAGAACAGCCTGCCACCCCGTATATGCCTTGAATTCCTTGCTCCCAGATAAGTAACTTTGGAGGTTCTCTGTTCAAGAGGGCACCAAAGCACTGACCCCGTTAAAACTTCACAGTAAAAAAAAAAGTGGGGCTTAGTGAATAATGATAGATAGGAACGTGGGCCTACTTGACACATATTGGGGACACAGACCTTAGGCCTCCAGAGCAACATTTCCTCTCCCCCTCTACCCCAATTAACAGAGACTAGTGTATGTGCGTCAACTGATTACTTGGAACAACAAAGAACAAAGCAGGGATGGGAGTAAAGACCACAGGTTAAAAACAAGAGCACAGAAAGGTGACACCAAGCACACTGGACAGTGCCCAGTGGCCCTTGAAAGAGTCCAAGGAGCCACGGGATGCTGCCCAGTAAAACTCTGCTTGGAGACACGAATGGTCAAGTGACAGAAAAGTGATGCTGCAGTCCCTAGGGGCCCTCCCAGCCAGAGCCTCCTTTCTGGTCAGAGAGATGTTTGGCTAGGGCAAGGGATTTACCAGAAGACCCCAGACATGGTGGGGCCGCACATGGGGCACGTGTAAATGAAAAGGTACGGGAACCCGCATAGGCAGAGCGTCGGCAGGAAACACCGCACAGGGCCCAGGCCTGCAGGGCCACCTAGTCCTCCACCACCCCGGCTGCTCCATCAGGGAATCGGGGAGCCCGAGCCTACAGTGCCAGCACTCTCGCCTCAGTCCTGGCGCACACATCACCTGCCCCGTGTGCGTCACCAGCTCGCCAGTGGCGGACACCTGCGCGCCATAACCGCGGCACCACGCCCGGCCCGGGACCCAGCAGCCCAACCGCGCCAGCAGGCGGAAGGTCGAGCTGGGCGCCGCCATCTTGGCACGGCCACGTGACCCACAACGGCCGCACTGTTAAGCACGCGCAGCAGCCTTTAAAACACACCCACACACAGGGGGCGGAGAAAGGCGAGTAACCCTCCAGCCCAGACCCAGCTTCGCTGTGGGTTCCGCCTCCTCGCCCAGGGCGGCCTTGTGCACAGGCAGGATTCTGCGCATGCGCGGGCGTTACGGCAGCTCCCGGCGCGTTCCGACCGCCATCTTAGTTACCGGCGCGGCTACCAGAGGTGTCTGTGGGTGCGGAGGGAGGGAGGGAAGGGGTTTGGGGCTGGTAGCAGCGGGTGATGGCGCCACCCCCGCCCTTTAACCGTCGGTCATTTTTCTTCTGCGCAGGGCGACCATGGCGGCGCTGCTCGTACGGCGCCTGTCGGTGGCGGCCCTAGCCCTGTCCCGGTCCGGCCTGCCCATGTGGGCCCCGGTGGCTGTGGGCGCGGCGCCGCGCCCGCTGCTGGCGGCCGCGCCTCTCCCGCCCCTCCCGGCGCCCAGCGCGGGCATGAAGGCGAAGGTGGTGCTGCGGAGGCGCTGCAAGGACTGCTTCATCGTGCGGCGGAACGGCCGCCTCTTTGTCTACTGCAAGACCACCCCCCGCCACAAGCAGCGCCAGCTCTAGCGCCCGCGGCCCTTAGCTGCGAGTGGGGCCGGGTCCTCCCCGGGGAGGGAGCAGGTGGCAGCTGGAGGCCGGGCCCCCCCGAGATGGGGGAAGGAGCCTTTGAAGCCTGCAGCGGGGACCAGCGACAGCCCCTGTGGCTTCTTCTCTTTTTTTCCCCAATGTCTGGTGTAAACACAAGGCTGTAACAGTAAACTTATGGGTTCCTAGCAAGTGTGTGCTTCAGTTATTTTGTGTGCACGTGTGCAGTCATCAGCAGGCGGTGCCTTGGAGGAGGATCTCGACCTCAGCTTAGGGATGGGTCCTGAGCTGATGATGATCGTCTTTCAGCCAGAGATTTCCACCCCCCCAGTTGCAGGTTGCAGGGGAGAAGGTGAGGTATAGATACAGTGCATCTACTGTCAGATTTTATTGCTGGTTCCCCCCCAGGGGGTGGATGGGTGCTTCTGTGCCTCTGCATCAGGGTGCTTTAAATGGCATGAAAACCTATAGGCCCCGCCCCACCCATGGCATGCTGGTGACTGAATGCAGTGAACAGACTAAGTGGTGCTCTAGTTGTTGGGTAGTTGCATAGTGTGTGTGTGCATATGCATGGATAGGTAAATGTAACGGGGACCTAGCAGCAATTTCTGTATTTAAATATGTTATACCAGGGGTAGCCAGCTTGGAGCACATGTGCCCTCAAGTGGCCCCAGCAGCCTCTGCATGTGGTACCTAGCAGAAATGGGATGAGTGACATGGTGGTAGTTTGGACAGGGAGCACAGGGTACAAAAAGCAGAGCAACAGAGAGAGCAGATGAAGGGGATCTGATTTAGCACGTGGAGAGAGACAGGGCCTAATTGTGACACACCTGCTGAAAAGATTGGTTCCACACTTTTGTACCTCTTATAAGTAGTTCCAACACCTGTTTTTCAGCTGTCCTTTGAAATCTGGCAGTGAAATTAAGACCAGGGGATTATACAGGGTTGAGGGTGTTTGTTTTATTTTGTTTGTTTTTCTTTCACTCTTTATTTTTTTTTAATTGCATACCAGAAACCTTGGTTTTGAAGAGGTTTTGGTGTGGACTTTGGTACAGTATATCACAGTAACTTTCGCAAAAGCTTTTCTCCAAGCAGGACCATACCCAGTTGATTATGTTGGTGACAGTGATGGGTCAGGGAGGAGAATGGTATTTTGAGGAAAACTATTTTTTTGTTAGTATGCTGCAGACTTTTCCCATAGGATGCTGTATAGGTAGCCACTAACTGCTTTCCTCATCCCCTGGGCAACCAGTGATCACCTGGGCAACAGTGATCATCGCCTGCTGGAATTCATCCAGCACAAGGTGGCAAAGGCCTGTAGTAAGGCAGCAGCCCTAGATTTCAGGAGGGCAAACTTCAACGAGCTAAGGAGGATAGTTGGGGAAGCACTGAGGTCCCAGAGGGGAGGGGAGACAGGTGTCCAAGGAGAGTGGTCACTCCTTAAGGAAACAATCCTCCAAAGGAAGGTAATCCCAATGAGGATCAAAGGGAGGAGGAGGGCACACAAGCCTCCATGGCTCACCAAAAGCATCTGGGAATGTCTCCTTGCTAAAAGGGAGGCGTACACCCAATGGAAAGAAGGGGTCATCACCAGGGATGACTATACTGCAGTCGTTCAGGGATGTAGGGGGGCAGTCAGGAAGGCCAAGGCAGAGATGGAATTAGGACTAGCTTCCCAGATTAAGGACAATAAGAAGTCCTTTAAATACATAGGGGGTAAAAAGAAAGTCCCAGGTAATGTGGGGCCCCTGCAGGATGCGTTGGGAAACTTGGTCGTCACACCAGACGACAAAAC